CCTTCTGAGCAGGTTTCTTTTTCATGCTGACTGCAAGCTGAGTGATTCATCTTCGGGGTTTGGAGTTTTATGCTAAATGAACTAAATAAGCTTGTCGTGTGTGATCCCTGTTGCAACAGCACGTAGATACGTTGTACCTGGCAGAGACAAAGTTGTGAGCTGATGTCATCACTGGGATTTTATTTTTTTTTTAATGTTTCGTATCCGGTGTTAATTTATTAACTAGCTCAGGAAGTGCAACTAGTAATAATGATATTCTCTCTTTTAAAAGTGTGGTGCAGCCCCCCTTCATGCACATGTATATCTTAAAGACTAAATAAGAAGTCGAACTTCAGCAGAAAAAAATGAATGTCTAAGGGAGGAATGTTAAGGCTCCTGTCATCTTGCAAACATTTAAAGGATGAGTGAGTTTTTTCATGTGAAAGAACCACTGGTGTATGAACTCAAATTTACCTTTCCCATAGCAAAGCAGTAGAGAAGCAAAATGCACACCTCATGTAAATTTATTTTTAACTTGGTCTGATATGTGTTCCAGTTAAACAAATGCTGCAATAACAAACATTTGTTTATAATCCTCCAGAAGCTGCAGATCTCACCCTGAATGCACACACTATAGATGTATTGATATACACAAGTATTTGTTATTTATTTCAGCACATAACATATAATTTAATAACCAGAAATAATATTAGATATTAAATATTAGAATAATTTTAAAGAAAACACTTCTGGTTCCTGTAAACCAGAAATTTAACACATTGCTATTTTTGGTTTATTGAATTAAATGCAGTGAAGTCCAGAAAAATAGGGGCAAGAAGTACTTATGCTGCCTGATGGTAGTTTTTTTTTTTTTCCCCAGTGGATTTTTGGGGGTTTATTTGCAGCTTCTGGGAAACATCTGATTTCATACAGTGACAGAAAAAGGCATTTAGAAAATCCCATTTAACAGATCTGATCTGGACGCTTAGAAGTCGTGCTATGACTCCATTTTTCCTGCCACGAGGACATATTAAATAAACAGCTACTCTGCACGGAGCCGTTCTGGCCAAGGACAAATCCGAAGGAATTTAAACAGCACCCATGGATGATGCATCTCCTTTCCTTTTGCATGGATCTCAAGTTTAACCATTTGTTATTCAGCCTCTTCTTTAACGTGCCTCACTCAGCTGTGTACCCATGACAGTTTATGACTCTGCAAAATTATTTTTTTAAATATATTATTAGCTTTAAAATCAGAGATAATGTCACTTTCCTATTGCTAGCTTTTTTTTTCAATTGAATGTTTTCAATTGCACCTGATTTTATTCACTGTTTTGTATCATAAAAACACAGACCACCCACATAAAAATGACCAGGCAGCTTAAAAGAATAATAATAAAAAAGAGCACTTCCAATATTAGATCAACAACTGAAATATTCTGTAAAGACTGGAAATTTTGTAAAAATGCATTTAGAGAAGTTTGACAAAAACATGAAAACTATTTACTGCAATGCCTGAAATACCTGTATTTCTGCTCTGCATCTCTGTCCTTTGAATATTTTAATTCTTTCAAGGTATGCACTGTTTATATCTTTTTTATAATATAGAATATATATTTTCTATATTCTCTATATATTGTCTCTATATTATTTATTCTATAAGGAACATATATGCAGTATGCTCTAAGAATAGATATGATATATATACTATATATATATAGTATATATATATACTATATATACTATACAAGGTAAAAGGAATAACAATAATAACAGACTGTTGCACCATGTAATTTCTGTTCTCTTTTACAATTTCTTGCCCAATAATTCGTGGGGATGAGCACAACACAGGTAATGCTTTGTGCTTGAATCCACAGGTCTGCAAACCCCTCCTTGTCCTCTGCAAAAGCCTTTCTTCTTCGTCCAAATTTTGTGGTGTCTCCTCTTGTCATTTCAGATGACATCATCTATTTACTGCTGAAGTGAGGGTTTGGCATTATATATGAAATCCCATTATTTTCCCTTCTAGGGGTGGATGTTCCTTGCTGCAGGAAGGAGGGTGACAGTGGGAGACAGGAGAAGGCTGATCCATCCTTGGAAGGAAACAAGGAATAAATCAGGGACCCTCATTTGGCAGGACATCGTGGCTGAAGCGACGCTGTGACAGGCACTGCCATCACCTCTCTTTCCCTCTCTGCATGGATCCAGGGATTAGGCCATTGACAGAGATGCACAGAAATACTTTCCCACTGGTTTTCACGATGGAAGAATCCCTTTGCCCTATATATTACAACATAATGTAGCATCCCTGACCCTTGACTGGCATCATCAGTGTACTCTCAGCATGGAAGTTGCAGACATCAGGGGACTCAGCTAATTTTCTTAGGCATAAAAACATCTTTTTATTATTGTTTCTGCTTCTTGCTTATGTATGCTCTGGGAAAAAGTCTGTGAGATGGGAGGAGTTTTTATTCCATCGGCTCTCGCAGCTGTGAAACCTGCAGCTAAAATCTCTCCCAGGTTTACTGACTAAAACACCCTATTGATGACTAGAGAAATTACTAGCATTATTTTCATCATTTCCATTGGTAAACTGCCCAAAGCTGTGTTTCAACAGGCCAGGCACCATCCTTGGCTGTTGCTGTCCCCTCTTGTTTTTACTGCACACATATGATGTGGTATCTGGGTGGCTTGGTTTTGTTTTGTTTTGTTGTTTTCAAATTACAAAGGAATAATGAAGCCTAATTGGGGAATTCAGACATGGAGCAAACTCTTTGCTTCAGGTGGGCAGAGAGCTGAGAGGTAAATCCCTATCCTTTGAGCAGATGTTACTGGAGTAGGGATAAGTGGCCGAAGTCTTTCAAGACAGCACGGTGCTGTCTTGGTGGGTTCCAGCGAGGGTCAGATGTTGTGGGGATGTCCTGAGCAGGGGGATGGTGGAAGGAGGAGTGGATTGGGCAGGGCTACACCTGAGGCTGCTCACCTTCCTGTGGGAGAGGAGGATTGAGGTGTGCAGCCTGCCTTTTGCTGCCCAGACCCAGCCCTGGCTGCTTGGCCATGGGAGGCCACCTCCTGTGCTGGCTGAGAGGTGGGAGAGCTGAGGAAGGCACAGACATTACAGTCAGGACACCTCAAGTGTGGGAAAGAGAACTGGGATTTCAAAAGCAGCTGCAAGCAGGGGGAAAAACCCTGTTTTTGAAAGAATAAACCTTTGCCCGTGGGAAGTCTCAAAGGGGTTTTCTTACAGCTGTCTTGTGAAAATTACATGTCAGAAGAACCAACTGCTGCCTGAGGTGAAGCTCTGTGCACTACTTTCAGGGTAGGAAATGGTGGGTTTAGTTCATTTGAGCTCTCACAGAGGACAAACTGTGAAGTACTGGAATCAGAGATGCTCAGAGCCCCCCTCCCCTGCAGCATCTGTGGTGGGATGGGGTCTGGGGCCGATGTCCCCTGTGTCCATCAGCTGGGTGGTCTGAGAGCTTGGGTGAGTGTCACAGCCTGGGAAAGCTGGCTCAGCATGGTCCACTGCTGGCTTTATTGCTGCATCATGTGGGGTAAGAACCTATGGTCTGGTTTGAGACCAAGCTATCCAAAAAAATCATTATTAAAGTGGAAAGTGGCAGCTCCGTGTGGCTGGGTGGGAGGGGAGGGGATGCTGCTCTTCCAGTATGATGCTTTACACTCACAAGCTCGTCACAAGACTGTGTTAGCCCCATCCCTGGGGACTCTGGAGTCACACCAGCCCTTGTTTTGTGGGCAGCTGTAAAGACACATGCAACGTGCAGGACAGGAGATTCCTGCTGCTTCTCCAGCATTAAAAATAGCTGTTGGCCTTCCCACCCACGCTGGAGACAGGAGGTGTCTGGACCACCTTCCCTTTGCCCTCCCAGTAGCTGGCACAGCCTTGTGCTGGTGCATGTGTTTGAGCAGATGTGGGGCTGGGGGTGCAGCTGAGACCAAGTTCCCACTGCCTGTGCTAAGAAAGATGCCAAATTTCTAGCCCCACATCTGCCTTGGAGCCCTAGGCAGCAGCTGAGCCTTGCTAACATCCCTTGGGGTGACCTTTTCTGATTCTGGCATCACTCAGGGCTCTGCACACATGGGTGTTGTTCAGGACTCAGCACACATGGACATCACTCAGGGCTCTGCACATGTGGGCATCACTTGGGGCTCAGCACACATGGGTGTTGTTCAGGACTCAGCACACATGGACATCACTCAGGGCTCAGCAGGGCTGGGGCTCAGCACGCACAGACATCACTCAGGGCAGTTCCTGATGGCTGTGCCGTGCTGATGGGCTCAGGGCCAGCCCCTGGCTGCCTCTGTTTGCTCTCAGAGGTGGTGTTGACCTTCAGGCCCAGCCAGGTGTTTGGCCTTGTGTGCATGTCTTTGTCTGGCTCTCCTCTCCCACTCTTGGCTGTTTGCAGTCTCCCATGGGAGAAAACACCCTCCCAGATCTGCTACCCCCTGGAGCTGCTTTAATTCTTTCTTGGGCAGGTGCCATGGTTCCTTGCTTGCTGCACAACTGTTTCTCTCATCAAGCAGGGCCTCAAGACACCAGAGCAAAATGGCTGAATGATAAATTCACTTTTGCTATTAAACATTCCTGCACAGGGTCTTTACAATGTACGCAGGGTCCTGCCCCCACCCCATCCCTGCTGGTTGTTCTCAAGGAGTTCATTAACAAAATCTTATCAATCAGCATTAGCAGGAGCAACCCTAAAGCTCCCAGCACCTTTCCAGCCCACCTGAACCCCTTTGGTACACCAGCCCCCTTCCCCCTGTGCAGACCCAGCTGTGACATTTGCCCTGCTCAGCCCCCTGTGAAAAGTGCTCAGGGTGCCGTGGAATCCAGGCTGGTCCTTTCACCAGATGTTGTGCCGGTGAAAACATTAAAGTTGTGGTCTGTTGCAGGAAAGAAATGTCTCTTTTCTGCTTCAAGCCCACGTCTGTCCCCTGTAATGTTCCTTCTGGGTCGTGTCCAGGCAGTGCTCAGCATCATGCAGGGGAGCCGGTGGGATTTACTGCCGGTGGATGCGCAGCCACAGCCTGCGCCGAATGCCTGGGGAGAGACAGTGCCCATCAGTCCCAGCACCCCTCCCAGTTCCCATCCCATTCCTGGGCTGTCCCAGGGCCTGACACCCCTCGTCTTCCCCCAGGGCTGGCAGGATGCTTACGGTGGAGACGGTGGGCGATGGAGATCAGGCTCAGCAGGAGGAGCAGGACACCAGCAGCCAGAGGGATCCAGATCAGGGGGCTGCAGGGACCTGGAGAGTGGGAGGGGACTCAGAACCTGGCACCATCCTGCCCTGGCAGCTTTGGGGGATGGAGTGTGGGGTGGGAAAGGGAGAAAAGCAAGGCAGGCCCTCAGAGGAGGGGTAGAGATGTGAGCACATGAGAAGTTCTTTGAAAGATGCATCACAGAATCACAGGATGGGTAAGGCTGGAAGACACCACAGTGGGTCACAGCAGGGTCATCCTAAAGCACATGTCCCAGGATTGTGTCCAGAGGGCTTTTGAATATTCCCAAAATATTCCCAGTGAGGGAAATGCTACAACCCCTCTGGGCACTCTGTTCCAGTGCTCAATCACCCTTACAGTAAAGAAGGCAACTAAGGGAACTAAGGAACTAAGGGAACTAAGGGAACTAAGCTCTGAGCTCATGATAACCTAAACTGAAATGCATCCTGGCCCCTAAACCTGTGGATATCTCAGGGAATCCCTCCTAAAGGGAGAGGTCAGCTCCATCCAGAGCAGTGGGTCCAGGTGCACCCTGACACCCACTCCTGCAGACTGACATTGTGGTTGCCCCCAGGACAAACAGGTTTGTCCCCAGGACAACCTCCAGCTGGACCCTGGGGGCCCCCAGGAGCTCAGCAAACCCCTCTTGCAAGGCAGTCTGAGCCAACCCCATGTCATACCTTTCTTGCTGATAGCTTTGCACTTGGTTATGCACCTCATGGGCTTTTTGGAGACCGGTGTCTGAGTGGTCTTTGAAGGCAGAGGCAAAACATCCACTGAGGGACAAGGAGAAGAAGAGGATGGTCAGTGTAGCACTGAGTGCAGCAGAGATCCCAAACAGCAGGCAAGAAGGGCTGGAAATTTTGGCCCTTAAAACTAGTCCCAACCAGTAACCTCCACAAAGGGCTGTGTCACCCAGAGGGGACGGGAGCTTGACCCGAACCTCTTGGGGGCCACAGAAGTTACAAAGAGCTTGTAAAGGTGTTAATCAAACAAAAGACTAGGAAAAGAAGGGCAGAAGGCTTAGGCAGAGAAAAAAAAAATCAAACTTTTTTGAGCTACATTTACTGCCACGCACCATCTCATCAGCACTGCACAAAATCATGGGTAGCGGGAGATTTCAGTAGCACTGGGAGGTTTTTAGGGGTCCCTGGATCTTTTCCTTATTCAGATTGCTCTAATCTTTGTTCAAAATGGGAATTTTTTTTTCCTGATAAAGTGAGGGCAGGACTTAATTCTGGTGTATCTGAATTACAATGGAGCATATTCATCTCTCAGTAAAGTTGGTCAGAAAAAATATCCCAGTAATGTAATTTAATAGCTGTATGTCTGACTGCTCAAACCACACTTCTTCAAAATTTTAGGTGATTTAAACCTAATTTTTCCGCTTCTATCAAGGATGGAAATTCCTATGGAAACTACCGTGCTTTTACATGGAAAGATGAGACATCAGGGGCCTGGGATATATCTGCACAACTGCTCCTTTACATTACAGTAGACTTAAAGAAAAGGAACTTAAAGAAAATTTTTTTATCATGAGAACTAAAACGAAAAAAGGAAAACATCCAGCAAAGCCTGAATCCTCCCAGAACACCTGCTGTTTTTCAGTTTTTAATTGGAGTGTCCTTGATTAAGCTGCACTTCAAGCCTGTTTTTCATGCTTTGCACAGAGATATGTGCCCAGTTGATAAAAAACAGTTCTCCTTTATCTTAAAACAGTTTTTCACTAAGCCAGCAAGAATCCAAAAGGGATTTCTTAGGCATCTCAAAGTGTCGGGGATATTTGCAAAAACAACCCAGAAAAATTGGGACACTGGGGCTGCTTTAGGGTCAGAAGTGTAGCTCTGCATTTTGGTTAAATAAGTTATTTATATCTTGGTTAAATAAGTTATTTGTCTCCCTTAAAGTCTGCAAAAGGAGGGCTAAATCCTACTTCAAATACATTAGTTTTTCTACATCAACTCCTGCTCTCTGGTCAAAGGGAAAATGGGCTGAAAAGAGCTTCTGTATGACCCAGATGTCTCTAAAGCATTTCTCCCCCAGTTCCCACCTGCAGACAGCTCTGATTTCTGGTTAGAGCCCCCCAGGGATAGCAGGATGGGAGCCTTGAGGAATAAATTCCATTTCAGTTATTTACGTGAAGGATGGGCTTGAAAGCTGCTGTCAGACCCACCCCAGAGATGTGAGGGGTGATGTCCTCCATCCTCAGGGTTGTCGCTGGGAGGGAGGGTAAGGAATAACCATGGCATGGAAGGACCTGGGAGCTGAGCAGGGCACACATCCAGCCTCTCATCCGAAGTGCAGCGGGGGATGAGAAATACAAACGGCATGGCAATATCTGATATTGGGCTGAGGGTCTTCCCATGGAAATCCTAAACCACTAGGACTGATGGGGTGCTCAGGGCATGGCCACAGCAGAGCAACTGCTGATGGCAAAGGGACTGTCTCACGCAGCTGGCCAAAAAGTTCCTGTATTTTCTGCTCTATCCGGTCTCATAGATCTCTTCAGAAAAACCGCAGAGCCCCAACCTTGCATGTCAAAATTGAGAAGAATCTGCCAACCCTCATCACCCCTTACACAGGGGGCCTCATCACAGGCTGCTGGTGGCATGTTTTGGAAGCCTGGGGGTGATGCTTACCCACATTGAGCTGTGTCCCACTGCCCAGGAAGAGCTGGGAGGACTGGGAGACGGAGCAGTAATAGATGCCGTTGTCCGAGGCACGGAGGTGGCTGATGTGCAGGCTGTAGGAGTTGTGGGCATTTGTCCCATGGACACTAAACTTGTCCTGGCTGATGTTTGCACCATATGTGGTTTTGCCCATCAAGTTGGAAAATATCAGGAACTCGAAGATTTGCCTCTCCTGGCTCCAGCGGTACCAGTACAGCCCAGTGTGCTCCTTCTTCAGCTCACAGAGGATTTCTGTTTTATTGTTAGTCTGGGCTAAAATATGCTCTGGAGTTTGGGATAAGAGTAGGTTTGTACAGAAGCCTAAGAAAAAAGAGACAGGAACACACAATTATTATTTTGTTTTCTCAGAATCACAGAATATTCTGAGCTGGAAGGGATCCACGGGGATCATCTAGTCCAGCTCTGAAGTGAATGGCCCATATGGGGATCAAACCCACGAGCTGGGTGTTAATAGCACCATGCTTTAACCTGAGCTAATCTCAGGGTTTCATTATTTTTCTTCCATGCTAAGTACAGATTTTCTTGATGGGCTTAATAAAAGCAAGTAGTCACAGATGAGGGGATCACATAAGTGAGAAACAGGAGCAGTTTTACCAGGACACTCCCATATTTCCTCACAAACCTTTTGGGGTTCACCAGCTATTTTTCTGTCAAGCCTAGTTGTAGAGTTTGCCCTGTAAAAAATCATCTAAGGAGGAGGCTCAGTGTCAGGGAGAGCGATGGAGGGATGGTTTGGAGAGTCCTCACGGCTGTATGTGTAGGGCAGGGCATCCCCACCTGCTCCTGTGGATGCCTCTCTTCTGTCCTCCTTTTCCCTGTTCTTTTTAGAGAATAAAAAAGGTTGTTTTTTTTTTAGCCCCTTAACTTATTTTCCAGGTTTTTCTTCTAACAGATGCAATGCCGATAAACATCTCAGGTGCAGAAGAAAGACCAAAGAATGTGCAAAACATCTCAAAATGCACCAATTTTACGGTACTTTTCTGACAATGTTATTTTCATAGGAATTTCGAGACGTTGGGAATGGAGAGGGAGTGAGGGGTAGCGGTGGGGTTCAAAGCTCTGGTTTGGTATCACATCTCCCTGTTTGGGCTTTGCAGCTTCTGTTGGAAATTATCTAAGTTGTGTTTGGCCCAGGCAGATGTGAGCGGTGTCTGTGTGTGAGGGAGAAACTGTCCTTGTGAGAAGGATAACAGGTAACTTGTGATCCTTTCTGTTCAGCAAACAGTCCTTCAAAACTCCAGATACTTTGAGACCGAGTGAAAAACAGCCAAGTGAAAAACAGCCCTCTGAAGATAAGGACGGTCTCGCTTCCCCCGTCTGTTTCCCAGGACCATTTTAGAGCTGTGAAAAAAACTCAACAATACACATTTCTTGTCTTTTTAAAATTTTTTTTTCCTTAAAATGTCCCTTTTTCTTCAAAATCCCAAAGCTGCTTACAGTAGCTGATGCATCCTCATGCGGTCCTGCAAACCCAGTGGTGCGGGAATGGGTTGGAATGACGCAAGAACACCTGAAGCCATCACTGTGGCGCCAGGCCTGGATGTCCCCCATGTTCCCAATGGGACAGGCAGAGGAGAGGGCTCTGGTGACTGATCCAGGTCCAGAGCCTTCCTCTGTCCCCACACTGATGACCCCATCTCTGCAGAGCCCTGATATTGCAGTGCTGAAATTCAGGCATTGCAGCCGCAGCACTTCACCACATCCTCTGGCTCTGTGACAATATCAATGTCTCCTTATCATTAAAATACAGAATTTTCAGGTTTTAGGGTACAATTGTCCCAAACTTTGCTCTGGCAAACACCCGTGTGGTTTTTAGGGGTGAAATGTGTAGGGGTATGGGGGTTTCAGGCTGCCCTGAGGTCTGGCTGGCCACTTAACTCTTTCTGGCTGGGAAACTTAACTCTTCATGAAAAGCTTCTCCTTGAGCTGTTGGAGAGATTGTTAAATGAGTCAGAAAGGATGCAGAGGGATCCTGGAAAATCTCAGCTCAGTGGACAAGTGGTCAAGCTCCAGTGGGGTGAGCTGGGATGAAGCCAGAGCAGAAAAACCCATCCTCTGTCATACCTTCACTCTCCCTCCAAAACCTCCCTGTTCCCTTTTCTGGTGGGGGACCACAGGGAATCATGGTGATTGCACGTGCTTGGCCAGACCAGCCTTAAAAATGGTCTCTTTTCCCTTTATGTGTGCAGAGCAAACTCTCATTTATTGACGTTTTCTGAGCGGGCTCGCCACCATACAGATCTATAGGATATTAGGCAGCACAGTTTTATAACACACCAATTCCAGCTGTGGCCCTTGGGAAATACTCAGTCTTTGGATGATTTAGAAGGAAATTTGATGGGATGTTTATTGCCTTCATGCTACGCAGGCAGCATAGACAGGTGCTACTTTAATTTCTCCACCAGCAGCTTCCTGCAGTCCATCTTTACTGAGGGTGCAGTAAAAACAAACTCTGTGGTGTCTATACCATTATGTACTGAGCTCTGTATAAATTATAGAATAGAATAGAATAGAATAGAATAGAATAGAATAGAATAGAACAGACTATTTCAGCTGGAAGGGACCTACAGTGACCACCTAGTCCCACTGCCTGACCAATCCAGGGCTGACCAAAAGCATGTTGCTAATGGCACAATCCAAAATCATGCGGAGATAGGTGATAATATCCTGTAGATCTATACTATGCCTGTATGTTTAAACTCCCATCATCCAGATGCTGTGTAACGCATCCCACGGGCTCGAGTAGAGCAGAGGAGAGGTTCCACTACGATTTTAGGTGCCCTCAACCCTTAAGAGATGCGTCCCTCTTACCTGGGATCTGGAGGCAGATGCAGAGATGGAGCCACGGCCGGGCCATGGTGGCAGAGTCAGTGACAGAGGGGTTTGTGCCAGCTCCCCCTTCTCCACCCACAGTCACCTCCTGTTGGAAGGGATGGCTTCACCTCAGGAAGTTCTTCCCCGTCCCAGCGCAGATGTCTCACCAACGGCTGCCAAAGCGCATCTGCCACGGCAGCACCTGGAGCCTCAGCACGGCAGCTTCTTCCACGCTGAACCCCACGTCTAGCACTGCACAGGGGACCTCAAACCCCCTTTAGGAACATTTAAAAAAAAAAAAAAACCTCATTGATTTTTAATTATGATTTCTTCATATTTCACCGCCTAGTTATTCTTCCTTCTTTTAACCTACTTCTATGAAATTAAAAAAATGACTAACGGAGGAGCTCGGCATTAAAGGCAAAAGCAGGGATGGATGAATTTTGGCTGGTTTCTTCCCTGCTGAAATCAAAAGGCATTCAAAACAAGGAAAAGATGCAGTTTGACCTGTGGGGCTGTTTTCTTCAGCAGAATTTTTAGCAGGAGGTGTTTTTCTCTGGAAAATGCTGAACGCCAGACCAACCCACCATAAAACAGAGATGTGAGGCATCACAGAAAACTTTGAAGTCAAGAGCAAGAAACCTCAAACAAATTTGTGGCTGAAAAACCACAAAAATAAGGAAATTCTGCTGGGGCTCCCCACCTCACAGCATGTGCTGTTTTGGTAGCTGTGACAGCGCTCTGAAATATGCAGAATGTCATGATTTTATCATTCAAATGGTAAAATATCAGAGTGGCTTTGAAATGTCTTTGTGAGGAAGAGGTTTGAAGCACTTAGGGTTTGGGATTCAAAGATGGGAAACACATAATGTGAAGCTAAAGGGGTGAACTGGTGTCAGCAGCCTTCAATATTTGCATGATCAGGAAAAAAAGTAAATTATTTATTATTTATTTATTACTTTTATTTTTTTACTGCTCTCTTTGCTGCCAAGTGAGGTTCAGTTTTATGTCCCTCTTGAGCAGATACTTGAGATCTTTACAACACCCCAGCATCTCCCCAGCAAGGGGAGTCTCACATGGGGCCACTGAGAAACTTCCCCCAGGGTTGAGCTGGCAGATGAATACAAAAAATTATATTGCATTTTCTACACTGTAAGTTTTTGGACCATTTTGTACTACATATTTCCATGATGATGTAACACGTCCTCTCCCCTTCTCTGTTCAAAATAGTTTCCTGCTCGAAGCTGGTTGCTAACTGCGAAAGCCTTGCCACAAAGCGCTCAGCTGCTAAAATTTAGGGTGGGCTGAACTTCTCCTTAACTCTTTCCTGGCAGGAGAAAGTAATTTTAGTGTTTTCAAACCCATTTCAGTGCTTTTAAGCTCTTGTTTTCAAGAGCTGAGCCCCTAACGTTGGACGGAGCAACACTTGCCTCTCCCCTCCTCACCTCCTGCTCATCTGCCCCCTTTTGTTTCGCATCACTCCCAAATTGGGGCCTGCCCAGAATGGGGCAAAACACCTCTTTTTTTGCGTGGGGGGAGGGCAGGGAGTGCTTAATATGAGAAATACTTCTGCAAGTGAATTTTCCCTTTATCCCTGTGGTGAGGTCAGTGAAATGAGTCCAGGATCCCTGGCTGTTGCAATGGCTGTGTCTCTCTTTTCTCCTCTTGTCACCTGGAGCATCTTCAGGCTTCCTGGCCAGGACAAGAGTTTGTCCAAGAGCTGGCTTTTGTCACCACTACAACCTCGAACACGGGGATGTTACACTGGGATGATTCCCCAAGGCATTATAGCAGCTTCCCTGCAGCACTTTTACCTATGGAAAGAAAAAGGAATATGTGCCATGTAAAAGCGTAGTGTGTGAGCAGGAACAGGGACTAACTTTAATTTTTTTTTTTTGAAGCTGCTGTTTATACGCAGTGAAACCGTTTACTGACTGTTCCCAGGACTGGGTATCGCTCCTGCAAGAAAACATTTTGAAGGAGGGATGCTTTTGTCTGGCAGTCCATCGCCAACAAAAATCAAAGCGCTGTGGGAACGGGTAGGAGACAGCTGCTGTTTATGACATCCCCACGTTGTTTGGGGCTGCTGTCCTGGGAAGAAAGTAGGGGAGGAAAGAAGGGTGCAAGTTGATCTGATCTGCACACATAAGCAAGATTTGTTGGTGACCTTGCTGGGGCACAGCGGCTCCTAATCACGAGTGTTTGGCTAACGGCTGGGCCAAGGTGGGGGGGAATCACTGAATTTTGGTGCTTTTGCACAATTTTTAGGGTAATTTTACCCTTTTTTTGACATTAAAGACAACCATCCCTGTCCCCAGCCCAGCCAATTCCCTGTGGACCCATCCCAGTGGGAAACAGCCCCTCTTCTTTTTCCCCAGCCTGCATCCTGGCCACCTCACAATGCTGACACTCACTCCTGGTGCTTTGTTTCATTTTTCACTGTCTCCTTACTCCCTGTGATGAGTTTCCTACAGCAAAGTGTTTCTTTTGGGGGCTGGAGAAAAGCATTGGGGTAGAAAAACATGGTTTACAGCCAAGAAGCAGGACCTGGCTGGAGTTTCATCTCTGTTAAACTCCTTTGCTTCAGCAGAGGTAACTGCATCTGGGCTGTAAATTCAAGGCCAGAGAAAACAGCTGCAAGAAAAATAGGGGGAAAATGCATTCTCTATGTGCTTTTGGGGCTATGAGGGCTGACTTTTGGGGCCAGGGAAGGTTGCTCAGCCCCAAGTCTGGTCCAACACTGTCCAGCTGGGCAGTACCTAGAAATAAGGGCCTGTTGGGCATAATGAAGTACAGGACAGAAACTCCCTGGGATTCAAGCAGCCACATGTGAATATTTTTGTCCATTTTTAATTTTTTTTGAAATGGTTTTATTCCCAGGAAGGGTGTAGCTCCTGGAGTATTTCATTAGGGGTAAAAGCAGTGATGAAAATGATAGCATTTTCACTGAGTCAGATCACAGAATCACAGAATATGCCAAGTTGTAAGGGACTTACAAGGATCATCGAGTCCAACTCCTGGCCCTGCACAAGACCCTCCCCAACCTTTTTCTTTGTGTGATAGTAGAAAAAAATTCAAAACAAAATAAGTGGGTCAAATTTTCTAACTGCTGCAAGCTAAGATGTGGTTTGTAGGATGAGGTTGGGGGGGGCCTTTGCAGGTGCAGATTTACAGCTGTAATTCAGCTGATGCAATATCACAGCTGAGACTGCTGACATGTCATGGGGTTACCCCCAAGGTACATGCCAGTGTATGATGAGCTGGGTTGTGGCATGGAAAAATGCTGCTTTTAAAGACCAGATACCAAAATGGATCTAAATGGTGAACTGAGTAAATTTTCCTGCCATTTCATCCCCCTTGGCAAACAAATCTGTGCTTGGGGGGTGGTTTGGAGGGACTGTGTGTGTTAGAGGTGTCAGGTGTGAGCCCCATGTGTGATCTCCCCCCAGATCCCAGGTGCTAATGGGGTGTGCAGCAAATGAGGGGGCCACGGGGGGATTTGGGAGGATGGACGCTGAGAGGACAGGCTCCAGCTCTCCCTCTTCAGGATACTTGGTGCAAGCAGAAGTTAGCGTGAGCGAGTGGTGACTAATCCTGGACCCCCCCAAATAGATAAGGGGCAGAGCAGGTGCTGCCGTTTGATTTCAGTTTCCTAATCAGTGTTGAAGAGGATAAGGAAAGACAAGGGAAGTGTCCTTGGGAAGGCAGCACGTGGAGGAGGAAAAGCCACCGAGAAACCAAACACAGGTGTTATTATCCCAAAACAACGACCTGCCATGGCTATAAAAATCACCCGGCGGAGACGTCGGGACCACCTTTCCCTCAAAGGTGCCGAGATCTGCTGGAACTCTGCAGCGACCGTCTCCATCTTCCCGGGACTGCCAGGACATTCAGCCAAGGATTGGTGAGATCTTATTACTGGGGTCCTACTCTGCCTCTGCCTTGCTTCTCCCGCATCCCTTCCCCGTCCCCTTCCCGGGAGCTGCCGGGTGGCGGCAGCTGCCGGCTCGGCCGCGGTCACCCTTTCCCACCTTCCCCACGTTCCCCTTCCCCCGCGCCCGGGTTCGGCGTCTCCCCGGGGGGTTTTTTCGGAGGGGCGGGTCGCGGGGTCGCAGCCTTGCTCCGAGGGTGGGCCGGTGGTGCGCTCGTGTTATGGTAGCTTTGCCCTGAGACGGAGCCGTCTCAGACCTCGTGCCCTGTTCACCATGATGACCGACATCGTTAGCAGCTGGAAGCTGGAGCAGTTCGTGCTCCAGAAGTGTCTCCCCGCAATTTGGTCCCCGGGGTCCTTCCAGGGCCCCGAGGCTTACCAGCAGCTCTGCCAGCAGTGGGAGAGCTGGTCGGAGGAGAACAAAAAGCCCAAACCCACGAACAAGTGCAAGAAGCGGGCAGCTTTGCAGGGTTTGCTGATGGTGGGCAGGGAGTTGTCCAGATTGCTGAAGGAGGCTCTTGAGAACGTGCAGACCTTGGAGCAGGACAAGGCTGAGCTCAAAATTCAGGTGGACAACCTGCGGGCGGAGGTGCAGGGTTTGTGTGGGGATTCTCTGCGGAGCGCCGTGGAGATCACCCGGCTGGAAAACAAGCTGGGGTATGAGAAGCTGAAATCGGAGGAGCTGAAGAAGGAGGTTGGCAGGTGGATCGGGGAGACCCACGACGCGCAGAGCGCGGTGCGGGCGGTCCTGCAGGACGTCCAGCGGGACCGGGGCACTGGCCCTGATCACAAGGTATGCCATGCCAAGATCCAGGAGCTGGAAGCAGAGCTGGGGGTGTCGAGGGGCATTGTGGCTGCCATCAAGGGCAAGAGGAGCCAGATTGGGAATGGGGAGGGGGAGGACTCCCTGGACACGCACCCACCCCACTATGATTATGAGGATGATGTGTGGGGTGCCAACGGCCCCACTAGGCCGTCCCCTTATGCTCCTCTGCGGGAGGAGGTTTGCCAGCTGCAAGCAGGGGAGGCAGAGGCTTCCAAAGACAAAAAGGCCCCACATGAGGAGCCAGTCAGCCACGTCCCACTCCAGCCCATAGACACCAATAGGGCTGTGCTCTGGTTTACCCCTGAGCAGCTCAAGACGGTGGGGAAGATGCTGGGGCCACTGTCAAAGGAGACAGCCATCAACTGGCTGTCCCGGGTCCAGCGTCTGCCCAAGTGCCAGAGCGGCAACTTCGTGAGTGACCTGATAGACGTTGTGAGAAAGTGCATGAAACCAGATGATTTTGCGGCACTGCCAGGGGATGTGCAGATGGGCAATGTCCAGGACATCAGGGACGTGCAGCTGGCCGTGCTGAAGGTGTTCTTCCCAGAGGTCAACCCCTTAGTGCTCTTCCACCAGGAGAAGCAGAACCCCGAGGAGCGGCCAGATGCCTACGTTAACCGTAAGAAGATGCTCTACCAGATGGCTGGGTTGCCTGGATCAAAGGACTCCCCCCTTGATTTTGACAGGCCTGAATTCAAGGAGCCTCTGGTGGTGGGGCTGACACCCCCCCTGAGGGTGATCGCTGGTGGGGACGCGGCCAAAAAGCCGCTGTCTGAGCTGGAGCAGATCCTGACCCAGAATTTTGAGCTGCAAAAGCAGGCATTCCCGGGGTACATGGTGGGGGGGAAGAAAGGGAAACCCTCGGCCATGCCTTTCCAAAATGCAGGGATGAGGAAAATGCAAGGAGACAACCGAAAAGATCTCGATGGCAAGGGGGGCTTGGGGAAGGAGAACCAGCAAGGGATGAGGTTTCAGAAATCCAACCCTTGGCGGGCTGAGCTGAGGAAGCGCTTGATAAAATACGAGAAACAGGAGGACATCGATGGCTTGCCGGATGCGGAGCTCTTCCAAAAACTGGCCCTGCATGAGGCCAAAAAGCACAGCAGCTCCCACCCGATTGACCCGGGGTCTAAGGCTCAGCAATAGGGCTGCCAGGCACCTGCATCGCCCCTTTTTGTGGCACCAATTAACACCGATTTGTGGGGGCGTCCGATAGTTGATACAACTATTGGAGGAGGGGTGCTTGGACAGGTGATGTTAATTGATACTGGTGCCTCTTATTCAATTCTGAATGTGGCCTCCGGCAAAGCCGGGATCTTCCAAACCTCTGAAATTATTGAACTGACAGGGCCGGACGGCCAAAAATCCCCAGTGCCGTTCACAGGGCCTGTACCCTTTGAAATTGGGACTGCCAAAGGGTCTGAAAAATTTGGGAAAATGGAAATAAAGGGAAAGCTGGGAATTTTAGCCATCTCTGCACTGACAAAGATGGGGGTGGTGGTGGACTTGGCAAACCAAGCACTGCTACGCTGCCCACAAATTGATGTGCCTGTCATCCCGGCAAGCCACAGGGTGATGTCAGTGAAAGCCCCTGAGCTCCTGGTCCACCCTGAGTGGGAGCCCCGAGTGAAACGGGTCACGGAGCAGTTCCCCAAAGTCTGGGCAAGGAGCAAGCTGGACTGTGGGCAGATTGATGCTGCCGTGGCAGTCAAAGGACCGGATCCCCCTCCTCAGCCTCAGCCCTGGTACCCGGCTGAGGCTGAGGACAGCTTGTGGGACACAGTCAAAACCTTGCTGGACCAGGGTGTGCTGGTGGAGCAGCAGAGCGCCTGCAACGCCCCGGTGTGGCCCCTGAAGAAAGCCGATGGGAAAACGTGGAAGCTGACAGTTGACTTCAGTACCCTGAACAATGTCACCCCACTGCAGACCTCCACAGTGGTCAGGTACCCTGCCATCCTGGCAGCCATCTCCCAGGGATCCAAGTGGTTCTCAGTGCTCAACCTGACCAGCCCATCGCTTGCCATCCCCTTGCTCCCTGAGTCCCGGCACAAATTTGCCTTCACCCTTCAAGGACGGCAGTTTGCTTTCACCAGAGTCCCTCCGGGTTTCCACAATGCCCCTGCCATCTGCCATGCACACGTGGTGAAGATGTGGGAGCACCTCGGCCACCAGGAGAGCGTGCTGTCCTGTGCTGGTAATGTCCTCATCCACACCCGGACCAAGGAGAAGAACCTGGAGGTGCTGGCAAAGGTGCTGGAAGCTGTTCAGAAGACGGGCTTCAGGATCAACCCCACAAAGGCCCAGCTATGCTGGAAGGAGGTCTCCTTCATGGGAGTGACCCTGGGGGAGGAAGGGCGCTCACTGGAAAAGCAGAGGGTTGAGCTAATACAGAAGATGTTGGCACCATCTGATGCCACCACCCTGAGGTCCTTCCTGTCTCTCCTGAAGTTATGCCGTGAGTTCATCAAAGGCTACGCAGAAAAAGCAGCCCCCCTTTGCCACCTCCTGAGAAAGAACACCCCCTGGGAATGGGGGCCAGAGCAGGACCAGGCAGTAAAGACCTTAAAGGAGAGTGTGGCACAAGCTCCCGTGCTGGCACATCCTCGGGGGGACAGCCCCTATGTTCTGCAGCTGGCCTGCACGGGGAGGGGGCTCCAGGCCTCCCTGGGGCAGCAACACAGTGCCGACATGCTCCCTGTTGCCCACGCCTCGCGCCTCCTGACGCCAGCAGAGCAACAGTTCACTGACTATGAGAGGGAGGCTTTAGCCCTGACCTGGGCCCTGCAGCACTGGGAGTACGTGGTGGGGTCAGCTCCAGTGCTGCTGAGGACCTCCTGCACCCCTGTGACGTACCTCTTGTTGGGGAAGAGGGATGAGGGTCCCCTGCACTACCCCAGGATGGCAATGGCCAACTGGGTGTTGTCACTGACCAACAAGGAGATCCCTGGGGACCCCTCTCCCGGTGCCTACAGGGTGGTAATCAGTGGAGAGAGGGATGGGCAGGAGCCAGCGGGCCCCCTTACCGAACCCAAGCCAAAGCGGGCAACCCTGTTTGAGAGCAGCCTCAGCCTGGAGGAGGCCAAGGAGAGAGGCTACGTTGTGTGGTTCGTAGATGGGTCCAACTACCACGAGGAAGGGGTGCCCTACACGGGCTATGCCGCTGTCAACTGGGGCACGGGGGAGGTGGTGAAGGGGAAGTGCCTGCCGCACTCCATCCAGGCTGCTGAGCTGGTGGCCGTGATAGCCGCCCTGGAGAACACGCTGGCAGACCAGCCCCTGGCCATATTCTCAGACTCGGGCTGGGTGGTGCGTGTGGTGCTGGAGTGGCTGCCGCTCTGGAAGGAGAGGGGCATGCAGTCTGCCGACGGCAAACCTGTCACCTATGCCAAAAAGCTGCTGTACCTTGCCAGGCTGGCGGAGCGGAGGGCCTGCCCAGCCCAGATCATTAAGGTCAAGGCCCACAAGAAGGGGACAGAGGAAGCCAAGTGGAACAAGGAGGCAGATGCCAAAGCCAAGCAAGGTGCAAAGGAAGGGCCGATGTGGAAGGCCAGCAAGATTGCAGAGAGCGGCCCTCTGTCAGTGGTGCCCAGCAGGCACTGGGAGAGTGTGGATCTGGTGGGCTTGCAGGCACAAGACCCCAGGCTCCAGGAGTTAGCACAGGGCAAGGAGTACAAAGGGTGCAAGGTGTGGAAGGATGTCTCGGGGCTGGTCCTGTCGCGGAGGGAGGGGGCGGACTACCCAGTCTGGGTGGTGCCTGAACTTGTCCGGACGGAGCTGGTGGCTCTGGCTCATGAGCAGGGGCATTGGGGTACAGACAAGACCATGGTGAGGCTGCAGGGTGTTGGGTGGTGGCCTGAAATGAAAGAGGACGTGGAGAGGTATGTCAGCAACTGCCTGACGTGTGCAGCCAACAATCCTGATGCCAAAGCGGCCAAAGCCCTCCTGGGCCCCCAGAGGATTTCCGGGCCGTGGAGCAAGTTGCAGATGGAGTTTATTGGCCCTCTGCCCCAAACAGCCCACGGCAACAAGTATTGCCTAGTGATCAGTGATAACTTCACCAAGTGGGTGGAAGCATTTCCAGCTCGAAACAACACGGCCAGTGCAACTGCAAAGATCCTGGTAGACCATATTTT